CCCCCCCCCCCCCCCCCCTTTCTCCCCCTTCAACCCAAGAAAAAAAGGGAAGAAAGGAAGAAGAATATCCCTTGGAGGCAGGTGTAGTCTTTTAACAGTCAATACATACCTGATCACAAGAGAAAACAACCCAAGCCAAGGGCTTATTGAAGAGCCCACTTCCCCTGATCATACTCACAACACATCTCAACCCTTGGACCAGAGAGTAGGCAGCTGCTAACCCATTGGTTACCACCAAAAAGCTGCAACAACGAAGATAATACATTCAAATTCGAACCAAAAATCAAAAAGATACTTAGATCTATTTGTTTGTGTATGGTGTGTGTGTGTCTCCATGTACATAAACTATGACAGAAAGACATTAAAGTCTTACAAAAGAGCTTTCATGTCTGTGAATCTAGCTTTCTTCTGAATGGAGAAGATCTCTTTGACCTGGGTATCATACACTATAAGAACAGCAGAAAGAGTGGCCAAACCACAGGTCACACACCTCAAAACCAGCTCTACAAGCCTAAGTCTCTCAACAGCAACCTTTATATTGCTCCCATGATATGCTGGGACATTCCCAGGACTCATACCAACACCCAAGTAACTCATCCTTACCAGTACCAAATTAACAACATTCACTAAACACAACAAAATAAGGGAAAAGAGACAGCTTTCAAACCCACACAAAGCACACTATCTATATGACATTACTCACACAAACAGCACGAGTCCGGCCATATATAGACGCCTTCAGGGGGAAAAAAAAAACCGTCCTATTGTTTAAGATAATACTTTTCCACATTATATTAAAAAATAATTTATTAATAAAACTTATCAATCGTTACAGTTTGGGTGAATTACAAATTACACCCTTAGAGTATTAATGCGATTCCTATTTGATCCCTAGAATTTCGATTTGCACAATTTGTAGTCTTTGAAGTATTGATTGTATTTCAATGAGATACTTATTGTCCATATTCGTCACAAACACCAAACGGACTAAAACCAACGTCACTTGGGAGAGAGGCATTTTTGTCAAAATCAAATGTCTCATTGAGAAGTATATAGTGTCTCAATGAGATACTTTAAACCAATTTTCATGTATTGAATTGACGAAATAGTCTAAATTGAAACTTATCGAAATTTAGAAGATAAAATTAACAAAAAAAAAATTGAGGATTAGAGTATGAATCAGCATGCACATTGAGGAAAGTCTATTAAACTTCTTCTTCTTCTTCTTCTTTTTTTTTTGTTTTTTCTAATTGGTAAAAAGATAAAGCTGCAAAAATGATTAAATTGACCTTGTTTAACCTTGAGTTTGTGCATGGAATAACTGTGTATGGCCCAAGGGGGGTTGTGACCCTTCTCACATTTTTGAAAAATCCTATGACTCTTTCATTTTTCAAAAAATCTTATTTTTTTTAGGAAATCCTGTACATAAATATCTCGCTCAATGTATTTGGAAAACTTAACACTTTGATATTTAATAACCAAATTGTGAGGGATCTACCTCCCCATTACCGGGGATATACCTCCCTCCAAAAGCAATCCTCCCCATTACCGGGGATATCCCGCTCTCCATCAAAGGATTTCGGCTAACCTGGGGGTCAAACTCCCACAGTAGCCTTTACCTCTGTCCCACATCGGGGAAAGAGTCGTCTCCCCACCCCCATATAAGCCGAAGCACCATATGAGAGGATTGCTCTTGGAGGGAGGTATATCCCCGGTAATGGGGAGGTAGATCCCTCACACAAATGATAATTTTTAATACATTAATGAGTATTATTTTTATAAAGAAAGACACTTCTTGGATGAGTTTGATGGACAAAAGAAAAAAATCAGTAAACTTACTGCCAAATCGGATTACAAATGCTACTTTCTTTTGAAATTGGGCATTGAGTGTATATGGGGGGTATATTTTTTTGTATATGTATGGTTTGAGTTAGTAGAAATCATATTACTTACCCAAAAAAAAAGACATTATTGCAAGTTAATTTTTATGATAATAATAAAGAACTGATTTCTAGGTTTTATGACCCAAATTGATTTTTACGATGGCCTCGTACGAAATTTCTTTTCCTACGATTGTATTCGACTAAAAAAATTACCATTTAAAATAACTTGTTTATTAATCCTGTTGAATAAAATTTTGACTATGCAATTTGTTTGGTCATCTGAAAATAAAATTCAAGTTCCGTTACTGTTTGTGGGAGTAGTGGAACATTGTGGGTTCAGACTCTTTGTTGTTAACATATTTTCATATGCAAAGTCATTGTGTGCTCACACTCATAGTTGTCCAATTATGCAACACCTTTCTACATTATTGATAGTTTGAGAGATTTAATGAACCATTAGTAGGTGTCAACTACCTAGTCCCACTAGTAGTAGCAGTGTTTCACTTTCAATAGGGTCCCAAGGATATGACCAAATATATTTCTTTTTCAACAGAAGCAAATTTATCCACTTTGAATTACAAAACCGTGTGGCAAGAAAATTGAGATCTTGATTCTTCCTTCTTCCTTCTTCCTTCTTCCTTTTGTGTGTGTGTGTGGGTGTGGGTGTGGGTGTGGGTGTGGGTGTGGGTGAGAGAGAGAGAGAGAGAGGAAAATAATGACGAATCAAAAGTATAACCAAATGGAAATATCCCTTTGGTATCTGAATTTGGTTTGGTGAAAGGAACAATACTAGTGGTGTATGCAAGCTTGTTTGGTGGCTAGTTATCATATCTTCGTCAACCAGAGACAAAATTGATGGCATGTTTCAAGGGTGGACTAATTCCACCGGGCATTAGGGAAATTCTACAGCATTGAATTAATGAAAATCCGGATCACAGTTTGAAAACTTTAGAAAAAAAAAAAAGATTATATAAAACTGAAATCAAGAACTCATCACACTATTGATCTTGATCGTAATACAGTTTTGGCGACGACCATTTTACCACAAACTCTACCTAGCAAAGAGCAGGATGGAAAGTCATCTACCCTGGATGGAAGAAACAATCAATCTTCAGCTATTGGTTCAGCGAAGAAACTCAAACTTGCACGAATTATGGCCTGTCATCAAACACAAGGAAGAGTTAATCTCTCACGTAAGTATATGGTGTGCGATAGTGAAAGAACTCGGTTGCAAGACTTGTGAGAAGATCATTCAAATCGGCTGATTCATATTACGTGACATTCTCATCTTTAACCACTTTAATTTGCAATGCTATATGGAACGTAGTGTTGTTATCTTTAACTGTCACTCACAATGCTAGGGCTGAGGGGAGGGGTGGAGGGGGGATCCGGTTGGGCGAGTGGAGGTGGCCTTGGCCTGGGTGGAGAGAGAGACACAACAGAGTGGAAAGGGGTGTTCATCTGGTAAGGAGAAGCTCATAGTTTGATTGTTTATCTGTGCTTACTTTTGCTTCAAAAGCAAATAATCACGCATGGGCTAGACTCTTTAGGCACATGGATCTGCTAATCTGTCTCATCATTACCCTTCGAGAGATTCCTTAATCCACAAGCAAGTTCTATGCTTAAATAGTTCAACACTTCCACTTTAGGGATCTACTATAGAAAACTTTGTGGAAGAATTGTCTGTCAATGTCGGTAATCTAAAACGATCATACAGACAGAAAACTAACTGATAAGAACAAGGATTGAGCTATATTGCTGGAAAGACATAAGGGATGATTTTGATTCCTTACTTGGGTCAAGAGCAGTTATAATGGCAGCAGAATTGAAATAGCAACTTGCTCCTTTGTGCTTCAGCTTCTGATAGTAGCTGTTGAATGCATAAGAGGCATGGTCCTTCACTGTGTTTGGAAGGTAGCATGGTTTGTTTATTTGTATCTTACTACAATCTGCACCATTGCCACAAGCCCAATCAAGGGCCTTCTGGAGCTCTTCATCCGGGGTCTGCTCATCAGCTATGCACCAGTCCTCAAATTGCCCATCTAACGTTATTGGGAAAAAAAAAAAAAAAAGAAGCCCTATTAGACCACAATTCTAGGGAGTATAAAAATACCCGACTCCAAGTAGTTGGACAATACTCGGGTTGAGTACTAGAGAATATAAAAATCACAGAGGGAGAGGGAACATGCTTTTCGAAAATTATAATGATAGAAACAGATAAAGAAATTGACTCTCCTTCTCTTAGTAGAACTATTCCTGCACCACACAGTCACGGGGCTGGGAAGAGGAGAGATGACGACGGAGCTAATCATATCGTAAGAACCCATAATGTATGCAGAAATGCAATGGAGTAGGAAAAATGTTTACCAGATTTTTGTGGAATTGATGACAAAAAGATCAGAGTAAGCAGAAGCAATATCAATGAAGAAGCCATTGATCCTCTGAATCTGTTACAGGGGCCTCTACTAGAAGTAGTGAAACTGGACATCCTCAAGCAAAAGAGTTTAGCTTTATACAAACCAAGGAATCTCAGAAAAAGAAGAAAATCCTTGGCTTTATAGAGAGTTGTGATTCTAGAGTCTTGGAGTCCCTTTAATATTATAGGCTGCATATTCAATTTAGATTTTCAAAATTACCCTTTTTACAATATTGAATATCCAGATCACACCCTAAGTTTAAAAATGGTTAAGTGAACCGAGCAAATCAGACAGATTTAAAAATAAGAGATTGCTTTTGAATAATATATAGATTTTCTGCAATTCAGTCCCTTCTATTTTGATAAAAATAAGAAGATATGATTAACTTTTTTAACAGGCAAGTCATACGCCTTGATATAAGAAGTAGCCTTGCTGAACATAACAGAGGATTAATCTTCCATCCAATTTGAAGATGTAGTAAACAGAGTTTCCAACATTTCCTTGCCTTTATTTAAACATTCTTCATATTTTTTGCTTTCTTTTCTTTTTTCCGTATAAATCGTGAAATACGTATTATTCTAGGTTTCATTTTTGGTATGTATGTGGGTAAATGTGTATTTTGTCATTAGAGCATCAAGATTTCCTTCCCGGTGAAGCAAACTTAAAAGATAAAAGAAGTGATAAATATTCCTCCCCATTGCCCCTGCACATACTTTTCTCTTCATTCTTTTGATTGTCTACCACGCATCTATACCAGATATTGCTGACATTCTACTAAAGATTATTCCGCTGAATCACAATTTATCACTCCCATTGACCCCTTGGATGTCCGATTTTAAGGAAATCAAATGACCAACTCGGCTAGGGGCAGTGGTTTCAATTACTTGATATGTATGTAACCAGCATCTTATGCTCTTACCAGCCAAATTGTTGAATAGCATAAGGTTACTATGTGGAATTTAACCTGCATTTATGCTCCTCACCAATTACAAGTATATAATACCCAACTCGTGGAATAGCGCAAGGATACACACAATCCCCGAGCCCAAGGCCTACATGGGTATGCACTCTTATTTGCTCTCATAACATTGTAAGAATGGTCGAAGTATGCAACTCCACGAGGGTTATGACAACTATAATTGCTGCCTAAATTCTGCCTTCACAATTTGGACAACACAATGCATTAATCAAAACCCCCATACAACGTAATGTGGCGGTGGCATTCTTGTAAATATCAAGTCACTACATAAATACATAATTCACAAGTGCAACAACAGTTCTAAGTCACATAAATTAAAAACCTCACACAACATACATACTTACTCATGGAATAGCACCAAGAGAGTGGAGATCATTTGATTGGCCATCTGCCTTTGAAGTTACGTTATACATGTTCTTGATCAATTCCTGAATCTTGCCATACATCAGCATTTGAGAATGATCACTTCCTCCAGCACTGCTCTGTGATGCCCTCGAACCCTCTTGGAGCTTAATCTTCTCAAACAAATACTGTTTCTCAGCTTCAGCCTCACTCAAACGTTGTTTGAGGTACCTGCTTGCATAATCCTCCTCTGATTTTTCAGTTTTAGCAAGTGCAATCCTTTGTAGCTTCTCAGCTTCCCGTCTAGCCTCACTGGCTTTGAGCTCAAACATATCAGCCTCAGCCTGCTTAAGCCTTACGATGCTTTCAAGCTCATCAATTTGTTGCTTCTTTCTCTGCCTCTCCATCTTTAGTGCTGCCACTTCCCTAGCTTTATCCTTGAGCTCCTGATCACAAGCCTCAACAGCTAGTCGGGCTTTCTTTACCTTCCGCATCTTCTCCTCTGCTACCATGTCCATTTTTCTAGTGGCTTCCTGCACTACATCAGCAATCCGGTTGAATGCCTCTTGTGGAGCTATCAGCCGCCAACCTTCCTCACTTTCGGTAATCTTGGATGGGTCCACCTCAAGCTCTACACAAATACCAGAATGTTAAAAAAGAAGTCAAAAAAGGGAAAGGATTTAACCTGTTAATAGCAGAAAATACTGTGTGATGGCTATAATAGAGGGTGTTTAGACTCAGACTAACATAAATACATACGGGTTCAAGTGTTCAGAAATCACTCTCACTCAATTTGTGGCACAAAAGGAATGAAAGCAAAACTGCTATATTCACATCATTAAAAAAAAAATTGAAGGTAAATAACATACCAGACTGTTATCAAATCAAACTTGCATCAATAAATACTCTATAGAACCATAATACTAATCAACTATCAAACAAAACCATATACTCAACTGACAAGGTAACACAGGTGTCAAACAGTGATCAAACATATAGATCACTTGATGACAACTTGACATTGAAAAGTAGTATATTGGGAAAAATAAATGTTCATAAGAAAACACTTTCATTGATAAAAGAGTACAAGTATTAGTCTACAGTAGTATACTAAACAATGTTTTAACTGAGACATAATTTCATACAATTTATATGGTAGCTATATGCTACCTCAGTTGAAAGAACCACTTCTTTCTTACTTCTTTTTATTTCTGATTAATAAATAATACCCTACATCTATCTGCTCCAGCAGTTGAAGAGGACACCCAGGTTTACATGCAGCACAAATATAATATCAAGAAATTAAGAATAAATGTGCATGTCGATAAATTGAATTGGAAGAGCTAGCATAATTGCTCTAGACCGATCTTCAAATAACCACAACACCACAGACAAGAATGTTAAAATTATTAAACATAGTAACACATCAACATAAAAATATCATTGTCCTTCTATATGAGCGACATTTGTGAACAAAGAGAAGATAGTAACCCATGTTAAGAAGCTTGAAACAAATCCTCCATCTTTCTACTCTCCACCAAACATGCAGCAGGAAAGAAGATGAAAGAACATGCATCCCACATAACACAGGTGCTCCATTCCTTTTGCTCTTTCCAATTAATCACAAATTTCGTTATAGCAGAGCTGTTGCACCAATATAACCCTATATGTCCAGCTTTGAAAATCATATGTGCATCAAAATTTTAACCAATGGAACAGATGCAATAGACCAACCCATCCACAAGCTGATAATGTGTCTGATTTGTGCACTTTATGTTTACTTGTACATATTCAGCCTTCTTTCCATATCTTACTGAGGCATTGTTGTGAACTGTCACTTCAGCTACAAGTTAACAGAGCTATCTTGCAAGGAGTAGTTTGTTGCAGAAATTTCATGCAAACTTCACCATACAAAACATGGACTCTCCAATTGTCATGAACTTGGAGGGTGGGTCTTGTAATGGTAAGGTTGCTCTATTGTCATTTAGGAATCACAGTGTTGAATCATGGAAACAACCTCTCTGCATTGTACCATCCTCCAGACTCCACAGGCCTGGCAGACACGTATCATGGGGCTGCCTATTTTAGAGTATAGTCAAAGCTTAATGCAAGCATGCAACAAAAGATGCATTGTACAGCTACTCAAACATTAAAAAAAATGCCAAGCACCCAACCATGGTTCTGTCTACGGTGCCTATAACAGCAAATAATTAATACGGAAAAAATGATGGGATCACACAGGCACAATGGGCTACTACAGATTCCTCCTAATCGAATTATTGGGGCACTACCAGTAGATGCAATTTTCTCTTCCTCCCATCCAGCTGGGAAAAATAATTGACATAAAATGTAAACAAATCCAATCACACATAAGTAATTTAACAAGATCGCGTTTCACTGTAAAAGCAATTTATCAGTTGTTGTCTTCCTGTGATTTACTTTTTCTTTAAAGCAATTTTCTGAAGGTGAATACAGTTAACACTACGCATAATAGCCTAATGCTTACCTTGAAAGAGCTTCAATATTACTTTGCGATCCACCGGTTCTGCCACCCCACTTTTGAGTTTTTCTACGAGTTCCTCGCACTTCCAGAAAAGTTTCCTCCCTCTGGAATCCTCACTTCCACGGAAGATTCTACTGACATAGTCTAGTTCTCTTATCAGAGCTTCCCTATCCCAGTTTGGCGCACAGTGCTGGAACACATCTTTAACCCACCCTAGTAACTCAGATGTCCGGCTGCAAGCTCGGCATCTAAAAAGCATCTCTGCTGAGCCTGCTCCACTCTTAACACAGGATCCCATGTCAATCTGTCCGTCACGAATGGCACAATCTGTGTGTGTCCAGTGAGAACACAAATCACAGCCAATCCACCGGCATGTGTTCACCTCAAAATCAAACTTATTACAGATCACACACATGCAAAGGTTGCAGAAACCATTTCTTTTTGAGCAAATTTCGCAGGTACAGTCCTCTGCAGGAAGTGGACTTCCACATATCATATTCCTGCACCTCTTGTAAAAGAAAACCTCTATAAGAGAAGCTTGTGAAAGACTGACACTTGGATGCAGAAATGCAAGAATTCCAGTCTTGATTGCAACTAAAATTTCTAACTGGACCCGGTGGGCTATGTTCAGTGTTTTATCTGTCAAATCACCCCTACTCTGAATCAGCTTCTGCAGAAACAGAAACTCTTCTCTTTGCTGAGAACCACCAGTTCCTTCAAGTAGAATCCGAAGTTCAGTCTTGAGCTTTTCCAGATGCTCATCTGGGAGATGCTGCATTCTTTCTGCTACTATATCTACTCTATCTCTGGCAACATCTAGGAGAGACATCTTATCTGAGCTTGAAATATAGCGGATGTTAGAATTTTCAGCAAAACCATTCTCCATTTCCTTCTCTTTCTCCAGTTTTTTCATCATCAAAGCATCAGTGGTGGGCCAGGTTTCACGCGAACTGGCACTTTCCGTTGGGGACTCACGGATCTGATCAGAATTCGAACCACGCTCTTGAAGATTGGGAGATCCACAAGCATCAGGGGAAACCAGGGATAAGGAAGTCTGCAGTCCTGCAACCCGTGGCTGTTGACGTGGAGGCAGCATCGTTTGTTGTGGTTGGTGATTGAAATGAGACCCAGAAGATGTTCCCATCTAGAATTGCAACAACTAAATCTGCAAGCAGAAGAAATAAGGATCCAACAATCGTTAACTTAATGATGTTTAACTTCTAACGCGTGAAACCCACTTGCTTAATTGTGCCCTTTATGAAGTTAAGTGCAAGTTTCAATGAGAACACAAATCACGCACATCCCACGATATTCAAAACCCAAAAGAATATTTAAACAAGCCGCACATAACATTGAATAAGAGTAAAAGTGGTGTCCCTAATTTCTTTCCGTCTTGTAAAATCAGAATTTTTTTCCTACTTAGCTCTTTTTGTTTTCCCTTTTTTTCCTTGCTTTTACTTGCTTCATTCTTGCACAAACGACTTTCTAAATTCATTAGTAACAAAAAAAAAAGATGGTTTCTTTGAAAAGAAAGCCACAGTAGCAACTCAAAATTCAGGACATAAACAGATTTAAACCAGAAAGTTCGTAATGTTTTCAGTTTCGTAATATTCATCAATACCCACACATACTTGACAGATCTCTAGCAGGCAACAACAAAAGGTTAAAAAATCAGGAAAACACAAAATCAAGGAGTGCTTAATTTTACATCTATATAACATCTCGAACTCCCATTAAACAAAATTCTAGTCTTCACATAATAAACAATTCACTTCCCAACTTAACCTAACATCAGATCAAAAAGATAAACATATGATTACAACAACAATTTAAGCTAAAAGCCGATAAATCGACCAATCAATCGGCATAAAACGAAAGAATTCAACACAATGGGCAAGATCTAGATCTAGTCAGATGAGATCACTCACCAGAAAATCGTAGATTGAAATCCACCCAATTTCTCTTTCCTCCCCCTAGTGTTCGATTCGAACAGAAAACCCTAGGCCACCACCCGCAACAGACACGAAGCGGTTGATGATGAAGGAAGGATATAAAAGGAACGACGGAATGACCGGAATAGCCAGTCAGCAGCTTAGCTACACCGACAACGTTTCTCTTCGCCGCCGCTGGGTTTGACTTCTCATCTCTGATTTGCAAGAGCTTCCAAGTCATCAAAGACTCGGACCGAATTAAAAAAAAAAACTGTGAGGTGTGTCTAAATAACGGATAGACCCTCTTATGTTTCGATAATAGTATTGGCTTCCCTGCTACTTCGGTATTGGGTAACAGATTCGCCCAACCATTAGACTTCTGTTAAAAAGGCGTCCACAATTTGATGATGTAAGCGTTAACATTTCGTATTATTCTAAGATTATCCCTTATTGAACGACGTGCAATTAGAAAGACACAAACATTGCATGAATTTGGCAAAACTTTGGGGGTGGTGCACTTCAAATATTTGTACAGTTTGACTTTTTTTTTTTTTACAAAATAAAAAATCTAATTCAACCAAATAAGAGTATTGTTAGAACCTTTTAAACCCCTAAGATCGGCACTTTTCTTGAAACCCCTCTTCCAATCTCTCCATTGATGTCGTCTAAGTTTGTCGGCATGTTAACAACCCAAGAAATCTCCAATAAATCTAATAAAGAAATTTTGAAAAATAAAAGTCAGAACTTATATAATGAAAACTCACGTTATAATTTTTTTTCTTCTATATATATATATTTTCTTTTTTTGTTCCTTTGGGCTGTATAAACTTATTGGGACCCACTTAAACTTAATTAAGGCTAATTGCATAGTCATCTTACTCTGCATAGTTAATAATTTTTACTCTTTGTATTTAATAGGGACTGTATAGGTGCTAAAGTGTTAAAACAAAATTGACTATTGACAAACCATTTGGTTTATAGGACAATCGTGAAAATTTTAAACCCTTATTTTGTTTCTTTAACTTGGTTAAAGTGTTTTATATGTTGATATAAATGACAATATATGATTGGATGGGGCAAAATTAGCTAAAGGTCAAGACCTAAAGAATCTTTTGTATCTCAGTTAGAAAAAAAACTGAATAGCCGTCTCAGCTAAGGGGAATGAGTGCTAATTGCAATATGTGAGGGGATCCTACTTGTTATTTGGAAAAATGTCAAGGGAAGTGAATGTAATTAACCCAATAAAAACAAGTCATCGGAGACTTCATCGTTTGGTAGCCTACATATAAATCCATCATTTGTGTGTGTGTTGGTCTATTATTCCAAGCCGTTTGATCGACATAGCCGTTTGATCTTTGTTATTTTTAATGCTTTTACTTTCATGGGTCTTCTTGTTATAATCAAATTGATATTCTCAATTCTGAATCCACTGAGTGCTACGTAAGCCTTCCAAAGTACAATTTAAAAAACAAGTGCAAGGGTACACATTAACTCCTGCAAAAAATTTGACGATGTGGATAAAATTCTAGATTGCATCCTAAAGTCGAATATATTTGTTATTATCTTTTTGATTTAATCAGTACCTATAATTTGCCAGTGATTATAAGTATACGGGACGGGATTTACTCCGTAAATTATTCTAAAGTTGGGTTAAGGAAAGTTGGAATTTGACCCAAATTCTTTCATTGACACGAAAGAGAATTTGTTTGGTAATTAATGTGAGAATTTTATATCGAATATGATTATATTGGAAGAGTTTTAATATACTATGAATAGATATATTAGACATGTGATAGGAAACAAAAAGATTAAGTTGTATTTTAATAGGTTTGAGTTAAAATATTTTATCCCTAAANGAACCTTTTAAACCCCTAAGATCGGCACTTTTCTTGAAACCCCTCTTCCAATCTCTCCATTGATGTCGTCTAAGTTTGTCGGCATGTTAACAACCCAAGAAATCTCCAATAAATCTAATAAAGAAATTTTGAAAAATAAAAGTCAGAACTTATATAATGAAAACTCACGTTATAATTTTTTTTCTTCTATATATATATATTTTCTTTTTTTGTTCCTTTGGGCTGTATAAACTTATTGGGACCCACTTAAACTTAATTAAGGCTAATTGCATAGTCATCTTACTCTGCATAGTTAATAATTTTTACTCTTTGTATTTAATAGGGACTGTATAGGTGCTAAAGTGTTAAAACAAAATTGACTATTGACAAACCATTTGGTTTATAGGACAATCGTGAAAATTTTAAACCCTTATTTTGTTTCTTTAACTTGGTTAAAGTGTTTTATATGTTGATATAAATGACAATATATGATTGGATGGGGCAAAATTAGCTAAAGGTCAAGACCTAAAGAATCTTTTGTATCTCAGTTAGAAAAAAAACTGAATAGCCGTCTCAGCTAAGGGGAATGAGTGCTAATTGCAATATGTGAGGGGATCCTACTTGTTATTTGGAAAAATGTCAAGGGAAGTGAATGTAATTAACCCAATAAAAACAAGTCATCGGAGACTTCATCGTTTGGTAGCCTACATATAAATCCATCATTTGTGTGTGTGTTGGTCTATTATTCCAAGCCGTTTGATCGACATAGCCGTTTGATCTTTGTTATTTTTAATGCTTTTACTTTCATGGGTCTTCTTGTTATAATCAAATTGATATTCTCAATTCTGAATCCACTGAGTGCTACGTAAGCCTTCCAAAGTACAATTTAAAAAACAAGTGCAAGGGTACACATTAACTCCTGCAAAAAATTTGACGATGTGGATAAAATTCTAGATTGCATCCTAAAGTCGAATATATTTGTTATTATCTTTTTGATTTAATCAGTACCTATAATTTGCCAGTGATTATAAGTATACGGGACGGGATTTACTCCGTAAATTATTCTAAAGTTGGGTTAAGGAAAGTTGGAATTTGACCCAAATTCTTTCATTGACACGAAAGAGAATTTGTTTGGTAATTAATGTGAGAATTTTATATCGAATATGATTATATTGGAAGAGTTTTAATATACTATGAATAGATATATTAGACATGTGATAGGAAACAAAAAGATTAAGTTGTATTTTAATAGGTTTGAGTTAAAATATTTTATCCCTAAAAAATAGAAGTGTATATTATGTAATCAATTACCAGATGATTAGTTTTTCAATGAATAATACATCAATATAGATTACAATGTACTAAGATAGGTATGTTGTATCGAACTACGTTATATCTTTGTATATATTTTTTATTATTTTCCTATCTTTGAATTTTTATATTCCAACAAACATTATTTGTGTTAATTATCCGCTGTGCAAAATCAACAAATAGTATCAGAGCTAGATTGATGATCTTAGTAGAACAATCAGAGTTAGATTGACAATCCTGGTACAACAATCAAAGTAAGTTATTGGTGATTCAATGATCAAGTTGATGTTCATATTGAAGAAAATTCTCTTGTCGCGTATGTACAATTCATATTTATATTTATATTCACAAGAAAAAAATTAAAGTTGGTATGAAACAAAATGGAAGACTAAGTTGATTTCTGATTATTTGGAATTCAAGAATTACCATAGGTGTTGTGTTGAAAATGTTTCTTCAGATTTTTGAGCTTTTAGAGTTGAAGTCGCAATATTCTAATGGATTGGGAGCTATTAGGCTAACATAAACCCAATAGTTATGATGTGGTGTTTCGTGGGTTATGAGTCATTGGGCTTTACCTTTAAATGGTAAAACATTGACCATTGAGACCTCCCCAAAGCAAGTAAGACGAGGGCAAAGATGCATAGATGATGCAGGGCAAGACGTAAGTTCTTGAAAGACTGAGAAGATTGTAACGACTCATAAGAATAGGTTTGCATGTGGTGATTGAAAAAATTGGTGGATCAAAATTAAGGATGCTAAGCCCGACCTTAGGCATGGCCAATGCAATATCCCAAATTTAAAATATATATAATATTAATTTTTAGGTTAATTTGTGACATTCTTTTTAAAAATGGATGTTAGTGTAATTAAGGAATGAGAAATTGTAGGATGTTAGTGTAATTAAGGAATGAGAAATTGTAGGGTTACTGTAACATTTCTTTTACTTTGTATAAATATATATATAGGCAGTCAAAAGTGGGCAAAATAAAAAAGTAAAAAGAAGGGGAAGAAACAAAGAAAGAAAGAGGCGGCTTAGGGGTGAGAGAAACAGAGAGAATGGGGAAAAAGGAAAAAAAAGGTTGATTCTATTAAAGGTATATATTGATTACTTCTTTTATGAGTTTTATATTCTTATTCGATTAGATGGTATATGGTTTATAATATTAGTGTGTGTATATATATATATATATATATATATATATATATATATATAGGTCTCATGGTATCTTGTTGATTATTGAAGTTATTAAGTTAAACTTTAAGGTTAGAGTTGTTTGGAATTGATTGAGTTTAATCAATATGTTGAGAAGAAAAAGAGAAAGAAAAGAAAAAGGGGTTTGATTTGAACTTGTAGAATATACAAGATGGATGATTTCGTTGGCCGAATAAGACAAAATCTTGAAATTACATAAACCACCTCTTTGACTTCAAGGAGCTTTAGTTTGATTGTTATATTTTTTGAAATTTAATTCTAATCACTGTTTTACTTGGTAAGTTGGAAGAATAGAATTTTAGAAAATTTATGGCAGTCCTAAAAATAGAAAATTCGTTTATCAAAAAAAGTACACTTTAACCCTACAAGTTTTAAAAATTATGATTTAACCCCAAAACTTTAAAAACTTTTTTTAAATAGCCAAGACTACTTCTATACCCAATTACCTAGTATTAGAAAGGGTATTTATGTGTAAAGGATATATTAAGTATATATCAATGGGTATGAAGTATGTTAATTAAATATAAAATCGCAAAACGACGAAGTTAGAAATAGGAATTGATTGTTATATGTTATTTTGTATTAGGTGATGATTGCATTGAGTTTGGGAAAGAGTGATTTGAATTGGATTTTGGGAGTCAATATGAGTAGTTTACTACTTCTTTTGAGAGGATTTTCTATATTTAATGTGTAGGTGTGTGCGTGTAGATTTTTCATATATATGATTTATATGTTGATATTTGGGATTACAATAAAATATTTTGAAATTGTGAACATGTGAATTTTGAAAACTTGTGAAATGATTTTATATCATTGCTTTGGTGATGAAAGAAAATTTTTGTGTGCGTTTATAACTAAAACTGCAGTTTTGGTGTATGTAGAAATCATGTTTATGAGATGAGGACTGGAGTTACCAGGTCTAAGTGGTAACAAGAGACTAAATCAGTCATCAGGCTAGTGATGACAACAGACGATGCCTATCATCAAGTTAGTGATTACAAGAGACTGAACCAGTTATCAGGCTAATGGTAACAAGAGATTAAGCCAGTTACCAGACAAGTGGTAACAAACATGATTTGACAAATATATTTGGAACTGAATGTGTGTGTGTGAGTGTTTTGAGTTATAAATGTCTTTTCATTTATAAAGTTATTTGTGATAATGAAACCATTTTGTTTAAATGATTATGCGAGAGGGGTTAGGATACAATTTGTTATACTTATGTACGTATCAAGTTTATTTTTATATATAAACTGTGAGATTTATTTTTACACCTCATTAGAGGTGGTTGCTATTCACAGGTCATTGTGCTTATTTAAATAGTTAACATTTTTTATATGAGCATTATGGTGAGGAATAGGTCTACAAATAGATAAGAGATTAGAAGAATTGTAGATTTATTTTACTGTAGGTCTTCAGTAATAAATGTCTTTTGTAGTTTTGAAATAAATAATTAATTATTTTGAAAACAATGTTGCTTATGTTTGGAGTAGTGAACATTACAGTTTGGTTATTATTTTATATGAATTTAGTAATGATGTTGGTGATGTTTAGTTTATTCTTTTGGTATTAATTTGATCGGTGGAATGAATCACTTTATTATTTGTCTTTCGCTGTATTTTGAATTTATTATGTACAGGGTTGTTTGGTTAAAGCCTCGGTAGCCGGTCCACCGCCCACCCTATGTGATCCGGGGTGAGAGTGTGACAACCAAATTTGAAGAGTTTGCTCCAAGTGAGACTATTGGAATTTGACTCAAACTCTCTAATTGACATGAAGGAGAGTTTGTTGGGTAATTAATGTGAAAATTCTATATGGAATAAGATTATATTGAAATATTTTTAATATACCACAAATATGTATATTAGACATATGATAAGAAACATAAAGATTAAGTTGTATCTGAATATGTTTGAGTTATAATATTTTCTCTATAAATAAGGGCGTGTACTATGTAATCAGTTACCAGATGATTAATTTTTCAATGAATAATACATCGATGTAAGTTTTTAGTCCATGAATTTACGCGTCGATGTAGGTTTTTGATCCGTGGATATAGGTACGGTGTACCAAGATAAGTATGTTGTATCAAACCACATTATATTTTAATGTCATATTTTTTATTATTTTTCTATCTTTAAGTTCCTATCTTCTAACAAACATTATTTATGTTAATTATAACCGATTGCTAGAGTTGGATGGTCGTTAATTAGGTTTGCTAATGAGAGACCAGTCAAGTGTGTGGGACTAGCCTAGATGGTTATCTCTAATTCTTCCAACGAGGAAATTAGTGGATCAAACCTTATGGAAAGTCAAAATTGATCTCTCATGTGTCTTTCTTTACGAATTGTATTTTATTATTATTTTAATACCTCTTTTCCATTTCATTACATTAATTTATATGTTTAGGTTTCAATATACAACAATTCTTTCACCGTTGTATATATAAGAAAGGTGGCGAGTCAGAGTTGTGAACTATTAAAGTTAGCTTGAGTGTTTGAATTGATAGGACAAAAATCTCATCTTTTGAGTTTGCAAAAACTTAAAGATCAACAATCAATTGGGTTTAATTTAGTGGATCACCTTTGATTAGATTCTGTAATCAAGAAGTTAAGAAGCCAATCTTAGCATAAGGCAAGGCTTAATTATTTTATCCCCCTATGTGGATACGTTTTGTCTATTATAGATGCATTAATCAAAAGTTGTAGTAGTCGATTTTCTATAGTAACAGTGATTCATCAATCTATATATATGTATATATGTTGCAATGTATTAGTGATACAATTGAATCAATCATACTATAATTCAAGTCCATGCACTCTGAACTGAGCAACAAAAACCCAAAGATGGATAATAGTACAATCAAACAACAACACGAGCAGAGGAACAAACATTCAAAGAGGTCTGAATAGAGCGCTTAAAGTGGAACAGAACAGAACCATTAATGCTACTTTAACCCTTGGTCACTACATTTCAATCAAATCTTAACATGTAGTAATTATTTGTATATGTTCCTACCAGCAACCTTGGACCACCACTCTTTCTAGGCTGCAATCATTTACTGCTAAAAATAAATAATTTTTGTGAATGGTTCTAGGATAAACAGTGCCTCTCGATATCAACTTTTGTAGCAAAGGAGGATAAAACCTCATGAAATCAATTTAAAACTCCTAATCTTTTCTCCGACAGTCACATTTTTTTACTTATTTGCACTGTCCCTTGATTGAACTTGGTCGATTTTGAATGCTTCATTTATTTCTTATTGTTCAAACACCCCCCACAATTATTGAATAGGAATATTAAGCTTGAAGTGGTACACTGATCTTGATACGAGAAACACCCTTCTTTCCACCTATACAATGGCCTCTCAAGACATATGTAGTGTCTGTTAAAGATGGAGGTTTTGCCATGGAGATTTTCATTAAATATCATCTGTGCCAACTAAAGCAACTATTTTGTGGTTGTGGGTATATATGTATAGTGAAATCGTGAAGCTTGAGAGCAGATGAAAAAATGACTATAAACACACAAAATATATATATCACATATATATAATATATATTGCAGTTTCTGGCTACAGATGAAGAGAAGTATCAACATCGGAATCAGAGCCATCAAGTTTGATCGATGAAGGTCGAGCCAAGTTTGTGTCAGCGAGCCATGACTTGGTCAGTTGTGGGGTGGTCTCTGTGGCCTTGAAATTAGCATGCCTGATCTGTGTGTTTGGCGACAGGGAGAGAGAAACTTGGGAAGGTGGCTTTTGTGGAAGGATCAATTCAGACTGGAAAAACAGCTTTGATGGCTCGTGAGACGTGGTGGGATTAGTACATCCTTCTGATTCAGATAACATTTTTAAGTACTCTCTCTCTTCCCTCATCTGCTTCACTCTCTGCAACTGTCTAAACCTCTCCTGCAACAAAGCAATGGAGGAATCAATGGATACGTGATCATTACTTCCCCTACCCATATTTTTGTGTGTGTGTGTGTGAGAGAGAGAGAGAGAGATTTTAGAAATATGAAAATTGGGTGCAGGTGGAAGTGGTCTCTCTTATCTTAATAGTTGAAGCTGCAACTGCATGCCCATATATATAGCATACGTGTGTACAGTACAGTGGTGAGTATGTTCTTTTGCCATAATTTATGCCTGTTTTTGCACTCTAATAGGATTCTAAAATGATTCAAAAAGGATATGAGAATCGGCAACTAAGCCACAAAGTCCAAAAGCTAAAGGTCGTCAAGGCAATCTGAGTACTTTGTTTAGTATATTGCCAGGGAGAGAGGCCAAAGTGTGGCTAAAGCACAAAAGGGTGTGAAGGAAAGTCCAAAACAAGATTAAAAACTAGCACTTGGAAGGGTGTGAGAGTGGGAATAATAAGATTGGTGATGGCCATGGACTGTCAAGATTGTCCCCAAAAACCCTCTTTAGCTTTGGAGAAGAAGATGCCTCTTTTGTTGGGCTTTGGATGCCTATCAACTTTTTTTTCTTTTTTCAAAATTTCTCTCTCTCTTTCAAATTCTATGTTGAACTTTTCTGCTTGTTGTGGCCTAGGAGGAAGAGGCGGGGGCTATGTTGGAGGAAGAAGACAAGTATTAGAAGCGAGAATAATCTTAGGAGGCCATGATGCTCTGATTGACCCAACCAAAAGCTATCTAACATTCTCTCTATCTCTCCGATCGATGATTAATAACTATTAAACCTAACCGACATTCTCTCCCTCCCTCTCGTTCTCTCAATTCACGTTTTGTCTTGGAGTTGTTGGATGGAAATGGCATGCAGGGATGAAAGCTGCAGATGCTAGTTTTGACGGACAGAAATTATAGGAGGCTGCTTGATTTGATGAAATTATACTTTAGCCCCTTAATTATGATCCATATCTCATATTATCCCTCCATTGTAAGGTTTCTCAGGTTAGGTTATTTCACACTTTCCTAATGGTTAATGTTGTTATAACATTGAAGGACCCGTACCTCAGTTTCCCTCGAATTATGAAATTTTTATCTCATTTTGCCTTGACATGTGTTCATTTTTCATCCAAATGATGAGATATATGCTTGTGTTTGGATTAATATCAAATCAATTCGAAGCAATTTGGTCATTGGATGAATAATGCACGAGATTCAGTTATGCTAAGGACAAAGTGAGATGGAGAGAACAATTGAAAGGATCAAAGTGTAATTAATTTGAATGATTTCATCCCCACACACGCTCCCTCCATTATTTCGTTGTCCATCCTCCGAAGGAAGGGGGACTAGACAAGGAGGTGCACCACGCCATAGATTTGGCAAAGATTGATATTATTTGTATTTAAAAATTTGATTTAATTTGTTAACTTAGTAACGTGACTTTATTAGAATTATTTGATTAATATTAAATTCTAATGTTTAATGACATCTAAAGTCAATCCAAATATCATAACAAATTAGGTTAGTAAATTAATTTTCAATATTAATATTGCTCTATACGGAATGTTTGATGATAGACCTGCAAAATAATCCTATATAAACTCCATTGTTTATTAAAATACTTGCAGAGTAGCTCAAACTAGAATTATAAAAACCTTTTCTTTTCAAAATAATTTTATTTAACAAAAGAATAATGTTTTTAGAGCTTAGATTATAAAGACCTAATATATTACAATCTCTAGCTTAGTCGACACGAGTCTCATACATTAACATCAATAACATACCGATTGTTGGGATTTAATACACTTTAAATTCATTGACAAACACATACAATCGAAGAACAAACCAAGAACATAAAATAATAAGAAATAAGAAAAAACAAGACACAAAGATTGTACGTGGTTCGACAATTTGTCTACGTCCACGAAGCTGCATGATTTTTACTATTGAGAGAGAGGATTACAGAGAGCGGCTATACACATCGATCAAACCTTAATCATCAAAGTAGCAGTCTTTTATATGTCCTACGCACCAGACTACAAAACAGACCAAAAAATTTTTCTTTAGGGTTGTTGCCCCCGAACCCCCACAAGACTTGTCAATGAGTGCTACGACTTGGGTCTATCAGCCTCAAAAAAATTTTCATTAAAAAATCACGCAACATTACTTCGGATCGGGGTCATCATTCGGATAAACATACAAACTAGACTCCACAAAACGGCCCAACACCGACTTCATAATCTTACCTTTTACATCCACCCAAACAAATCTTAATCGTTTTCCTAAAAGCCAAACATCAAAATCCAACTTAAAGTTATTGTTATTCATAACTTTATGTTTTATTGGGTTATTTTGACCATCTTGATGGCGGGTGTAGCTGCTGCACCAAGTATGAAGAGAAAAGTTGTTGACAAATTAAACTATCTACAACGAGATACATTACTGAGAAATATGTCAGATATATACCATCTGATCTTGCTATTAATCGGATTATTTTTTTGTGACCTCCAACATAATGTATGTACCTAAGTTGATAATCTTGAACTTTGTTAATTAAAAAAGTGCTTAATACACAACTGATCACGTTACTATCAAAAAGAGTAAAATTGGATTTCACCCGATTCATCATTCAGTCAACCCATTGGTCGTAAGATGACTTAGAAGACACAAACGAGAGCATTGGAGCTCTTAATAGTTTCTTGGATTACATGATGAGTGTGCAGTTATTTTTACACAATAAAAGAAAATGACAGATCTCCCTTTTGGTAAATAAAAGATTTACTTGAAAGTCGAGGATCCCGAGACAACAGGAAGTGAGAAAGATCGTAAGGAGTGGTGATGAATTGTTTTCCAGCTGTCTACACAATTCCAGCAAGTCGAGAAGGCATATGTCACTCAAAAAAGAGAGTTAGAGGGCGCTGGAGTATTTTTCGACGTAACCCCTTCGATGGTCAAGTCAATGTGTGCGAGAAAGTTGAAAAACTTTTTTGTATTACTGAGAATGAGTTTTGCGTACCTTTGTTTTGAATTTCAGAGCGCTATTTATACTTTCATGAAGGTTATCATTACTGACAAGTGAACCCCTTGAAGAAGGAGCCCCCCATTGGTCCATTTGGACGGCAGTGGGCAGTGTCCAATCCTTATACAGAGCACCTTTCATTTTGAGTGGAAGGGGTTGAGACATTACATGCTCGGACTTCTAAGCACTTAATACTCTTTCTTCTTGGGTTTTTTGAGCTTTAACTACGTCTCATCTTTCTGAGGGATCATTAATTGCTTTCTTGTGATAGTTGTGTATGAGTAGGGGCATCTTTATCTTTTGGCCCATGATTTTGCACATTTTGCCACGTGTAACATAGTCATTGAGTGTGGGTTTGTCCCATTTGTCAATTTTGACTACTTTGAGAAGAGAATTCAATGATTATCGACCAAGTTTAATTCCAAGTAGTCGTCGTTTTGACACCTCTGCTTTGTGGTCCTAGAGCCGAGGTGACGTGTCCAGAAATAGACTTTGGGGGAGTCAATCACGACGAAAACACGTGTCGTTTGCAGGAATTTTTCAGAACCGTTGTGCCGAGGACACGTGTCATTTGCATATGACGCCAAGAAAATATTGATGTCAAGGATATGTGTCTAATTCATACGAGTCCTATCTTTAGTGCCGAGGACATGTATCCATCTCATATGGTCTGAAGCACTTTCATACCGAGAACACGTGTCAATCTCATATGAATTCGAGGGACCCCTTACATCAAAAAAAAATAAGTCAAATATGTGTGTCAGTCTTTTGTGCCTCCACATTCTTGATGCCAGACTCTCTGAAATGTCCCATCAATAATTCATTTTTAATTTGTGTCTTTGCACACCTGGTTCTGTAAGATAACTTAGTTTATGGATAAGGTATACAAAAACTCCGCAAGGCCTTCGGGCATCAGGGCATGTGTGGAGCTTTGGTGTTTGATTATATCTTTTGTACTTTTTTTTCTTGTAAGCTCAATTTTTATTTAGCAACAAAAAAAAAAAAAAAAAGCTTTGCTCTTATATTATTTATTTATTTAAACTTAATTATTATTATTTTTTTAATTCTCTCACATTCTTTATGAACATATCTATTTCTATTGCAATTAGATTCAATTTGGCTCAAATTGATTGAAAATTTTCTTTATAGTGGAACTCAAGTTGCGAACACAGCCACTCCACTCTTATACTGCCAATTAATTTTCAAAACATTAGAATTTTTTCAGTTTTTATGTTATACATTCCTTCACCCTCTTAAAATTTCACATATCTATGAAAAAAATATTGTCCATCAATAATACAGAGCTATCTGTAAGAGACCTCATCGCACCTACTGTAATACCCAAGGTAAAAAAAATGAAATAACAATAATAATAATAAAAATAAAAATGAATAAGTTGGATTTGAGAAATTTTAGACTTTTGTTTGACTTGAGTTTTGTCCTTATGAACTTGTGGATATACTTTGAAAATCAATGGAGATAATTTAGTTTTTTGGTGTAGGAGAAATATTAGATGATTATAAAGACTAATTAGGACTATTATACATGTGATTTAAATAGGGTAGTATTATTGGATAGGTCAAACATTTTGTATATATATAAATAAATTTAGGTTTGTAGGTTTTTTTTTTATTGATGAGAAGGCTCGTGGAGGGGCTGTCCTGTGAACAAAAAAGAAAAGAGAGAGAGAGAGAGAATGAAGAAGGAGTAGGAAAGAAAGAAAAACCTTGAATCCATTAAAGGTATGAATTTATTACTTAATTTATGAGTTTTGTATTTTATTCAATCACATAATATTAGGTTTGTCATAAATAGTATAGTATGGATATATATATGTTCATTGTAAAGAATATTAATGAAAATATAAATGGATTTTAGTGAAAGATGCTAATTTAGATGTTTTTAGGCCTAATTTAGATTGGTTAGTCTTGAAAATTTAAGGAATTTAATCAATGTGTAAAAAGAAAAAAAGATGAGGGGAAATGAAGTTACTATTCCAGGTTCTTATGTAAGCAGAAGTAGACCAAATTCAAAAATTATAGAAAGCTTTCTTTTAGTTTCAAAAAGCTTTACTTTGACATTTATATTTTTTAAAACTTAATTTTAACTATTGTTTTACTTGGTAAGTTAGAAGAATAAAATTTTAGAAAATTTATGGCAATCTTGAAAACAGAAAATTCTTTTTTCAAGAAAATTACATTTTAACTCCAAAAGTTTCAAAAATTATGATTTAATCCCAAAACTTTAAAAACTTTTTATAAATTGTCCAGATTATTTCCAAACCCTATTAGCTCACATTAAAAATATTATTTCCATGTAAAGGATATATAAAGTATATATAAGAGGGTAGAAAGTATAAAAATTAAACATAAAATTGTGAAATGACGAAGTTATGAATATAGATTGATCGTTATATGTTATTTTGGATTAGGTGATGATTGTATTAAAGTTTTGAAAGAGGGACTTGAATTGAATTTTGGGAATCAAGGTGAGTAATTTACTACTTCTTTTAGAAGGATTTTCCATATTCAATGTGTGGGTGCGTGCGTGTGAATTTTTCATATATATGATATATATGTTGATGTTTGGGATTGCAATTAAATGTTTTGCAATTGTGAACTGTTATACATGTGAATTTTAAAAAAAATTATGGGGATGATTTTATATCATTACTTTGGTGATGAAAATGAAATTTTGTATGCGTTGGGACTAAAATTACAGTTTTGGTGTGTGTGAAAATTATGTTTGTGAGACGGAGACTAAATTATCAGGTTTAAATGGTAACGAGATTGTATACCGCCATAGTCAGTATAG